CTGCTACTGCTACTCTGCTACTGCTGCTGCTACTGCTACTAACACCACTACCACCACGAGAAGAGGAGAATCATGAAAAAACAAACTAATCACGCATGCATGTACGTATGGTCTGCATGCCTGCTTTCGTGAACTAGGCTTGCGAGAATGACGTCGCTGAGAATTGCCTACACTGTGATTAGGATACTGCGACTCAGGCCACAGCCCGCGAAACGTTTGCGGCCACGTCGCGGCACGTTTTCAGGTAATACATATGCCCAATCGACAGACATGGACTTGAGCAAAATACTGCCGTGCCGAAGTGCCGCAAAGCCGAAAGAGGCCTCGGCCTCTGCACGTCTTTGGTGGTGCGGTAGCTCCCTAGTGCTATTGCAATGCTACTTCAGTGCTAGTTCGGCCGAGAGACATGGCTGCCCTCTCTCTTGTACGAGGCAGCCAACGGCATAGCCTTGCGACGGTGGAGAGCAAGGGCTCGCATGGTAAACGTGCTGCACTGTCCGGACAAAACCTATTTCGCGAATGTTGATGCCGCTTCGCGTTCTCAGAGCTTCTCACAGTAGATCAAGCCACCTCACCTTAACTATAAACCACCTCACAGTTTACGCGCGGGATCTGAACGAGCCGAGTGAACTCTACTACCCGCTGCCGCTTCGTGTTGGATAAGGCCGAGGGCCTCTTTTCCTAGTCTAGGCTGAGCTCGCGGAACTCGAAGGTCGCACTTCAACTTGCGGTCTAATTATAGTATAATGGGCCGCAAAACCCTATTCTAATTGTTAAGGCCCCTATATTCGGAAAATTTTCACTGTTGAAGACGTTCCGTCGCCTCTCGATTGGAAGCTCTGCTGACAGCTGGGCGAGATGCACTGCTCATTCCTGCTGTCGCGATATAAGGTTTAAGGGTTCAGGGTTGAGGTAGGGTTTATAGGGTCTTGAGACTCTTAGAGTGGTGGGAGAGTGTGGGAAGGCAGGGGACCATGGCAGATACGTGCAGCAAGGAAGCAAAACCCAAAACCGAGTGCAACTTCGGAAACCCGTCGAAAAGGCACTTGCAGCATTTACATTGATTGCAGCACTGGAGTTCATCTTGAAGATCATGACTGCTGCTAAGTCGTTCAATACTTGAATTCGCACTCCATCTAACCCTATAAAATTGCAGCTGGCAGAATGAAGCACTAGACCTTGCGCATTAAAATGCTCGTTCGTCATAATCGGATGTCACCACCACTCCGCCGATACACGATTTGAGCGTTCTCGTTCGTTTTCGAGGAGGTGGGCGCGAACAGCTTCATTGAAACATTGCCGGCAGCAAGTCACTAAGTTTACAACTGCGCCGTGCTTGCCGGCGGAAGAACGCCAAAGTCCCGCGGAAGATTTCAGGAGCTAGCATTGGAAGGAAGCTCAAGGGCTATACCACAACACAAGCTACTGTTCATAGTGTGTACTGATACCACAGACTAGCGGGGCCGAGAGCAACGTCGAAAGAACGGAAAATGGACTTGCCGAACAGCAGCATAGCAGTGCTTTGCAGCGGCCTCTGCTTAGCAAAGGAGGAAAACGAAGCCTTACATTCCTGTATAGTTCCTGGATCAAGGACAACGGCTCGCCTAGATGGTCATTAAGTGCGTGCTGCTTCGGCCAAACACCGGCAATCGGCCATCACCGTCAAGCTTGGAGTCCTTGTCGAACATCTTGTGCAACATCGGCAAATACCCCTCGAAGAGCTCTACCATCTCATCGATGTCTTCTGTGCGATACCAGTTGTAGCTTGGAAAGTATTTCTCCGTATCTGCTTGCACCAGCTGCAGGGTCCTGTCTGCCCAAATCACGCTGGTCATGTCCCCATCCCGTCTCATCGCCATCAGACGCCAGTAGATACCCAGGAGAACGTCTCGCGTCTTGTGGCGGTCGCATTGAACATCCTTCGGGTGCATGCGACTGCAGCAGCTAAAGGTGCCCCCAAGGACGTGGAGGATCGCATCGTCTGAGATGTCGTCCGACGACTCCCCGGTGCTGTGGATGTCGCAGCCATCGCAGATATACGCCGCCCGTTCCGTGTCTCCCATGCTAGAAGAGCCTGTCTTGAAGCTAAGTAGCTCAAGCCGGCACCACCCACCTTGGCTCACTTCTCCTAAACGTTAAACTTGTGAGCCTCCTTATTATATTTCATATAGAAACCCAACCAGTTAAAGTCCTAAGAGCCAACCAGAAGAACGCCGAGCCACGGGAGCAGTACGAATGCAAATCCAGCAGCGCCCCAGTGTCGGAGTGCCTGCATCTGGGGGCCACCGACACGAGTGACGAGCACAGAGACGCGTAGACCGACAAGGAGTTGATCGCTGCCTGCTGTTGAAAGGAGTTTGCCTGAGGAATCGAGGTGTAATCCACCCAAATATATCCGCACTTTAGGCCTCTCTCCTGCAACTTGTTGACGGCCACGAGGATGGCTTGGTAGTGGACGTTCTCTGGGTCAGGATGTTCGAAGCCGGCCCACTGGTGGCTTATGAAAATCACACCCGAAAGTATAGAAACGTCGACGACATCTTCCTAGGTCGCAGGGCCGATGAGAGGTTTAGCTGACCGGTACATCCTATCCGCTATTCACCTACTAGGTGAGGATGCATCAACATAGAAAATAAGCACGGTGCCACATCCAAGCTAGAGTCCGGTCGATCGAAACAACACAGCTTCGCATTATCCCGTGCCTCCTCGTGACATACCAGACAACCCATGTCTATGAATTCGTGCAGCTCCACGAGATACCTCACAGACATGTGGCAGACACAGTTGCAAGCTCCTTTGCACTTGGTAGGTGATTTCTATAACCTAAACGCTGCGCTTTGCTGTTGCTTGCACAGAAGTTAATAATCATAATCGCAGGATGCTGGAGATGTTGATACATACTGCCGCCCTCAATTTCACATCGATCTGTGTGTCGCTCGTGCATCCTTCGCTTGTACTGTTTTTCCGACCAATACATGGCTATTGGGCAATGAGGATACATTCGAGCTGCATGCAAGCAACTGATCAAAGCTGGTTGCCAGGATGCCAGTCATTGAGTTCTAAACCCTGACCTGTCTGGCCCCACACTACGTGCCAAGCCATTCACACAGAACTGCCACAGCAGGTTGCTGAAAAGATTGACGTCTTTGGTTTGAGTTGAAGTACGATTCGAGACACACTCACGTCAATTGCATTCCTGAGTTTTCGAGCTTCCTGCTGTTAGTTGTCAAGCTGCATTGGAAATTGGAAGGTGATCAAATTGGCAACGGCATTGTGGATAATCTCGATCTTCTCGGATTTCAGGTATTTTGCCAGCCCCTGCTGCTTCATGGCCTCCTTCCGAAGCGCGAAGATGATGTAGACGCCAAGGAAGACGCCAAGCATCGCTGTTAGTGGCAGAACCAGAAGCAGCTGCCTCCAGAAATCATCAGAAACCACCGGCCATCCATCAAGCGGAGCGACTTTGAGGATCCATCGGAAAGCGAACTCTTCAACAGACACATCCACTTGCACCGCATCTGCGAGCGACTCGATCCTGGAGGAACGCTGCCATATGCCGCCTTCCTCTGCCAGAGAAGGATGTGGGCTGGGATCCGACAGCTCGTAGGCAAACTGAGAGATGCCAGCAACGCCTCCCTGTCCGCCTGTCTCCAGCGAAGACAAAGAAGTTGTTTGCAGAAAATCGTCGATGCCGGCTAGCATGGTCACAAAACCCCAGAAGTACGTGGGCTCGCCGCTGGGATCGAGAGGGCCAGGAAACGAGCACTCTGTTTCGTCGCGGGTTTCTGGTCTGGAGCAGACTCTGGTGTGATTGACACCATCAGCATCAATGTACGTCTCATCAGGTAAATATTTCGGAGCACAGCGAGAGAAAATGGGTCGCTGGGCAATGGCAGCTATTCCGCCTTGCACCAGCTTCAGAGGCCCGCTCACTTGGATGGTTCTTGAAACGATCGACTGGAGGGCGAAGTCTCTACGCGCAGGGTTTAAGAGAAGGGCAAGGCCCAATGCCCCGCGGTTGTCTTGGTTCTGATCCACCAAGGGATAGATCTTCCGAATTGTTCCAAATGGTGCAAGCTGCAGATTTGAGATGCCTCCGTAAGTTTCAATAAGGGTCTTCGCCAGTCTGTCAAAATCTTCAGTGCCGGAGCCACATCGATCTATTTGGAGAATGCCATCAAGTGCTTGAAGGCTACTGACAGATGTCCGAAGCTGACGGGTAATGTCTGCAGCCTGCCTCTCAGCCAAATAGGTAACAGATTGCCGTGCATTGTTGAGCAAAGCTGCATCAGATGCGTTCAGGTTGTAGATGCTGACACCAACGATTGCAAGGATGATGGCCATGACGCCCCAGAATTTTCGCCATCGCATCCACAAAGGAATCCGTGTCCGTTTCGGAGCAGAATTGACGGATGACAACTGACCCATAGGCATACTGGCCGAGCCGGTTGACTGCCTCACAGGCAGATGATGACGATGGTGATGACGATGATGATGATGACGGTGATGATGGTGATGATGGTGGTGGTGCAATGATGAGGATGATGATGAGGATGATGGGGATAATGGCGGGGACGATGATGATGATGATGACGATGGCTATGGGCTATGAGGATCGGGGACCTACTTCAAAAAGGCAGAGATCCAAACTGGTCTTGAACCCCGATGTAAACAATTGACTCTACAAAACATGTGGAAGGAGGAGGATATCGCACTCTGACAAAGTGTAAAGCACTGGGATCTCACCATATGCAAGTGTAAAGATCGCGAGTCGTGCCCATCTCGCCCCAGCAATTGCTGCGGCCGCCTATACACCCTTTAGCTAGCTCGTCAGCGTGAGTACCAAAACTAAGTGATGAATAGTCCGTGTATGTAAGATTCAACAAGTACTTCGAGCAGTATGGTGTATTGGTTACCGGATAGATGCTCGCCTCTGTCCCTCCGCGGCTCCAGTGTCGCTGACAAGAATCCGAACCCAGAGCCCAGCCACAGTGCTGTATTGATTAGGAACCCTGACTAAAGACCCGTCCCAGATCACCCGGCGTGCGGCAGTGTACATTCCACGGTTGGGAGTCGGGTGAGGTTTAGCAGCTTAGCAGGTGGGCATTTGGCTAGCTAGCTGACAAAGATCTGCGACGGTGTCGGGTTTGAGAATTCCCCGCACACTGCCGGCACTCTGTGGGTTTAATCGATCTGCGAACTATTTGGACAAGCCCGGCATCACCACCAGGTCGTCATCGAGGGAAAATTCGGATCTGGAATGCAAAGAGTCATCAAAACTCCGTGACCCTCTTGACGGGGCCACCGAAGCAGTGTCGAAACTGCGGGATCCTGGTGTTCTTGAGTGTTGTCATGTGGCTGCTAAGTGCCCTAAAAGGGATCCTAATTGGGGTGATGATACTCATAAGTCCACAAATAACAACTTGCTAAGTCCCCGGACCCTCCAAGTACAACATTGCCCTAAAGTCTAAACGAGGATCTGGGCTGTCCCCTGCGGCCAATCGCGTTCGGCTCCCACACAGTCAAAGAAGAACGCCGAGAAAGCCGCGGCATGGAGTCAGGAAAGGACTGCTGCAAATTTTTGCAGGTTACCTTGTTGGGGCTGAGAAGTGATCACTTGCTATCGATCGATAGAAGATCTTCCGGAAGCTCGTGAGGTTTGCCCATTGAATTTTGGAGAGTCGTCCTTTTGAGCCGAGCTGATGCAAACACCGGCATCCTGTGAATGACCATACTTAGGCCACAAAGCCCCAGCACTGCAGATTCGACTTCAAGAATGCAGAAGAGCATAGGAGGGAGAGAAGATCGCTTCTCGTCGCACTCCTGTAAGCCAGCAGCGGCGCGAACTGCGTCTTGAAGGTCCTGCGGAAACTCTATAGCTACTCAGCGAAGACTTGTCCGCAGGGGTCGTCGATGCTTCTCGCGAGCAAGGAAAGAAGCACACGATCTCTTTGCTTCAGGCGGGCCTGTATGCTTCAGGGGTGTTCTTCATGGTCACCTTGAGGCGCTTGATCCTGCACAAGGGTTCCGCAGCAGACCCCCACACTCCAACATCTCCAGGCCTGAACTGATGTCAGTGGGCCTTTCACTAATCAGAATTGCGGCTTGGGTTGTATCATGCGACAGCTATTTTGAGGTACCCCATGCAAGGAATAATATTGGCTACCCCGGACTGTTGAATGATGATGCTGGCGCAAACTTGGACGGTTCTGTTTCCATGTTGTGCAACACTCACGGAGACGTACGCAAGAATGGAGTGTGGCTTTGAAGCCGTTTACACGAATTTCAACCCGGGCTTTACAGGGAACTCGTTTCGGAAGTGTTTGGAGCTGTCCGTACATGGCATCGCAGGGGGGACACCACCACACGTGTAGGAGTCTTCGCCGAGAGTATAACGTGTAGAGGCCTCTCGACACAGAGCATCCGACGTCCCTATCGTGAATGCTTTCTCAACGCAGTCACTCAGTGTCCATCATCTCGAATTGTAGTTTTCAGCGCGATGGATCGTAGTGTCGTAGTGCGCAATGCACGGGCAACTGTGAGTCTAGGGTCCTTTCGAGGAAGAACCGTTTGACAATCTGATGCAACGTCAAAGCCTTGGGACCATGCAAGCTCCCTGAACACATGGGAGTTCCCGAAAATTAGGGTACCTTATTTTGGGGTACTTATTCTAATAAGGATCCTACAATTTAGGGTACTATAGTAGGGTCCCTTATTTTCGGAAACTCCCACATAGCGCAGGGCTTTCCACATAGCCGACAGGCATCGATCCGCATTCGGAGCTGAACCCGGCTCCAGACCCTTGGACAGAAACGCCACCCTCACCCACACCCGCACGTGCACATACGGACGCAGAACAGTTCCCTGACTGAGCTTGCACCCGAATTCTGACATATGCTGCAATCAAGCTCGGCCTGCTGATCTCGCCGGTGCGAGGGCAGCCGAGAACAGCAGTTTGAACATGGTACAGAATGCCACCTGCAGCTTCCAAGGCAGAGCCGCAGTTTGGGGGATAACGGGAACAAAAAAGAGAAACGACACCATGTGGCCATGAGAACTTCGGAACTTCGGAGTCGCTTCCGAAGACCATGCGAAGTTTTCGACTTCAGCCGGGCCACTCATGCTCATGGCATCGAAGTTGGAGGTGAGATTGTCTTCCTCCTTCAAGGCCCTGCCCATAATCGGACCAAGTCGTTCTCTCCCTCCCTTCCGGGCTTCAGGGCTTCAGATTTCAGTCAGATAGCTGCAAGTCTTCTGTGCTTTTGATGCAGATGATGATGAGAACAACGCTGACCCACGAGAGCAACGGTCGACATAATCATTGTTGACCCAGGCAGCGCCTGTAGACATAGAAAGTCTGCAGACGTGGGCCATCATCCAGCTCGCAGCCCATCGGCCCTGGTCGAGACCATCGTGTACGGTTTCACAACCCAGCACACGCAAATCCCCAACTCCTGAGACAGGTCTCCAAAAGTGCTGCACTGTCAGTTCTAGACTCTATAGTAGACACCTTGCACATCCCTGAAGAAGCTCTGAAAAAGCCAAGCCGCCAGGGGAGTAGCCTTGCGGACACTCTGATGGCAGCTTGTCCGGACTGCATGCATGTCAGAAGGCCGGCAGGGGATTCAGCACTACAAGGGACACTATAAGGTACTAAGGGGTACGAGAAGGGCTTGCAAAGCCGCTAAACAAGTAATTCCCCGCAATTCGTAGCCCGTCTTGCACTACGTACTCGTCCCGTTGTCGAAGCCTGGCCCCTACACTGTTATTTGGCAAAGCACTCTCACACTCTCTGTTCAACCTGATGCTCGTGGGCCGTAGGCCACCTGGTTTACATAGCTCCATGATGAAAGAAACTCTTGCTGGACATCCCAAAACCCAACAATCTGTTGCGATGGTCCAGATCACTTGTACTTTGCAGACCCATCTGCCTCTTCCCAATTGGCTCCGGAAGGGAGGCTGGATCTTTGAAGCTCGGCTTCACACAGACGTGGTGCCTGTGCCACGCTACCCCCTGAAGGTCCGCCCCATTGAGCTTGGAGTTTTGGAGCCATCGCACAAGAGGACGTTGCTCTGTAGTTGATGCCCTTCGGCTTCTTTATCTTACTGCCCGGCTTGGTGTTCCAGATCAATCGAATTGGAAGTGTCCAGTCTTGCAGCCCCATTTCTTGCGCCTACTGAATAGTTACATCTGCTGTAAGCACGGCGTTGTAGTTTTTTGAACTAGAGGATGGGAATTCGGAAACCTGAAACTCTCCGACGGAGAGACCGGACACCTTCGACGGGTGCCCTACGACAAGGGCTCTACCTCAGTCCTCCGTTAACACTACAGATGCATGATACATGTGTGTATAAAAACATATGTAAAACTGCTTTTGCTTCTTTGAAAGATTGGTGCCGTCCCTGCTGTACTTAGGTATATTCTACAAAATATGCATTTGTGTATGCATATATATATATATCCATACACACACACATACACTTCTCAACACACACACGCACACATAGTATGTGCATGCGGACATTTGAACAGGATCTTCCATTGGACACGTCTTATCAGGGCCTAGGGACGACATAGTGTCTACTAGACAGGGTCTTCTGCTGGACAGGGTGTTCTGTTAGAAAAGCGGTGTTAACACTTCGAATTTCCACAGTGCGTGGCTTGGTGTCGCAAGGGAGGCTTGTAACTTCATGTCAAAAGATGCATCGTATACGTCTATATGGCACAGACATGCAGCCATTGACCGGAGACCTTCATGACATGCTGAGAGAGTCTCAAGACTTTTAAACCCTGAGACTCCTTCAACAAAACAACTACCGCGACATGTGCGACGGACATGCATACATCCATCCATACATACATACATACATACATACATACAGGCAGAGATGTCGCTTCCGGGCCGCCCTCTTAGCCGCCCCCACTCATAAACCCCCGGGCCCCAGAGCAGCGCTGTCTGTTGCCAAGCAGCTCCCTTGAGGAGAAGTAGACCTGAGTTCAAAGTGGGGCTCAGGGTTTGGGGGTGATCGAAATGCGGCACGAAGAGAGCCAATTAGCCTGAGCCTGCACCTGAGCCGAACACGGACATATATTTATGTATGTATGTGATGTACACATACCAGGCATACCTATAGACCTATATGCCTATATGCATCGAAGCTTAAAAGCACCCAAACAGTAAACTGCAACCCTAACCCTAAAAAACCCTGGCCCTAAATGCCTCAACAAACCCCTAGAAAGCCGTAAGCGCCCTGAACAAAAGCCCTGCTAGCCACATGCCATCCTTTGACTCCAGGAGGCCACGGCTCGGCACTCGTCGGTGGTGTAGATGTCCCCGTATTTGCAGCAGGCCATCCCCCGACCACACCTGGTGGGTCACTGTAGACCACACGATTAGGCAAAAAAACGCCCAAAGCGATTTCATAAGGATCCGTGAAATGAGGGGCCTTAATCAGGGGCAGCTGACATTCAGCGGTCTGAGGCCAACACCAATTGCATCGACCGTTGCCTTCGCAGTAGTCATAGCAATCCTGCGCGCCGCCAGGCTCTTCTCAGAATGCATCGTGCATCAAAGATCCGTGCGAGGTGATTTCCACGGGTCTTGTCCCTTTCGTGTCTGCTGATGTCTGACTTTTCAGGAGTGGGTGAAAGTGTAAACATGGCCACAAGCACTCGAAAACTCTGCGCTGCAAATCGGCTTTAAGATAACTTTTTGCGATTCGCACACACCCCAAGTCAAAGCAACTCAGCCGCGCCAGCATCGTCGTCATCAGCGTCGTTGTGCTACGGTCGACGTCGTTGTGGAGCGGCACCGGCTGTCAAGTCATAGCGGCTTTAGATCAGATTAACGACCTATGACGGTCATGACACGGAGTTGGGTCCTGCCCTTCGTGCTTGACCGGAACATCATGCACTGGCGTGATGCAGGTGTGATGACCTGGGGCGCTATCTGCATGAACTGCTCAGAGCCTGCCTGGGGTTAGATGCCGAATTCTGAAGCCTGCAGGTAAGCTATGGAGTGCCATCTCTGTCTTTGCACCGAAACGAAACCCCTCGTTCTAGCCATGATGCATCTTTATGACACTTTGCTCCCGAATGTGTCAAGCTCTCCATGTAACACCCAAGTTTGCATCTGAAATGCGACAGATGAGCTCTCAAAGATGTGTGCACCAGAGTTTGGGTCATCTCGGGACCCTCCATGCGTCTAAGAACATATGTAAGGCCAGAGGTGCAATCCGGGACCGCGGTCTTACGTTCATCTGGACCCAAACAATCTGATCAATCTTGTAGGTTCTCTAAACACTGAACCCGCAACCCCTATGCAAACCCTAAACCCTTGCAATTCCGGATGTTTTCTGATGTTGGCTTTTGCAGACCGAAGCTGGGTAATTCGGGGATAGGATGAAGCAGTCCCTGTGATGGTCATTGTCCACTGTCCTGTTGGCGATGACGGGTAACCCAAATCCAGAGATTCTGAGGCAAAGGCGATCTGTGGGCCAGTCGACCACGCCTTTACCTGTGGAAAGTTGTTGTGGCGAAGGGCACCGGAGATTCTCGGGGAGCCCGGCAGCATGCATGTGCTGCAGCTGCTTTCTGACCTCTCCTATCGTTACACCTACGCGTAACTCTTCATGGGCCCTGCAAGTGGGACAATCTCGGGCCGTGTGAAGGGGAAGGGCAATCTTTGGAAGAGGGCGGATCTACAGTGGAACCAGTGCACATGCTAGCCAGAGCAAAAGCCTGCATACAGAGATGACAGTACCTGAAGAGATACTCAAACTGATGAAAACCATGACGGCGGCCCTGATGGTAAGAGATCGACGAAGGTGACAAAGCCGCCGATGACAGCAGCAACTACCCAGCACCAGCACCATCATCAGCAAGCATCGACACCTCAACCACAACAATCACCACTATACTACCACCATCACCAGTTGCAGTAGAAGTAGTCGCATGCGTGATGAGCACATCAGGAACGCACTGTTCCCAACAAGCAGGGACCTGCAGTTAAGGGCAGCCTGCAGGTTCGGTTCACAGCAGTAGTAGTAGTAGTAGTAGTCGTCGTCGTCGTAGTAGTAGTAGTAGTCGTCGTCGTAGTAGTAGTAATCGT